AGATACTTTTAAATTGGCCAATCATATTGGATCTTATGTGGGGAGCCCACATAGTAAATGGATATATGTCACGGCACTAATTGTGTTTTCTTAACTCAATAAATCGAGAATAAAATGTATTATACTTATTATCGCAATGTTACCTCGTATACGTATGGTATATTATAACCTAATATAAATTTCAAAAAAAAGGGCACTGAGGCTAATTTAACCCCTTAAACTTTTTTTGTAGAGCATTTCTAAAAATGTTTATAGATACGTAAAACATTTTCTGCTCTAATGATGCGATCCGAATATCTGAATTCTATCTAACCCGAATTTGACTCCAAAAAAGATATTTGTTATCTGAAATCAGATAGGATCCGTTTAGCGGATAACTAATTCATCCGACGAATAATGTAATAACTTTAACAATACGATGCAAGTTTATAATATATATTACGTTATTATAAGCAAAGAAATTCATAATGCATATTTTTTATATTTATTACGATTACGGTAGGAAATGAAGGGGAATTGAGCAACAAATATTTATTACAAAGCAAATAAATAATATTTATTGTAAAATAAATTCGCAAGTTTTTATATGAATAATTCTTATTCGAGAGGATGAATATTTTGATGTTTGTCAATATTTCTTTACAATAATATTATTTTTTAAATAGTTCTTTTCAATTTAGTAAATTGCCAAAACCACTGAACGAACGCTCATTAGGAGTTGAGGTTGCTGGATTGTCAAGTATGTTTTTGCCAATTTAGATAAAACGGAAATTTTTTTCGAATGTAAATCCCATCACAATAAAGACATTTCACAAATTGATTTCTGATACTTTGAAGTACTTGTCAATTTCATCCGTTACTTGCAAATCGTCTTTTCAAAAGTAAGGTGTATATAATAAATAACTGTTGATTGTACAACTACAATATCTGTTTTGTCTTAGAATCATGTGATAGAGACGTATAATAAAGATTTATAGTTTTATAAATTTCATTTATTATGGATCTGGACGGATAACAGATATTTGTCGGATGCATTCGATGCAGATTATTTTCTATTAACGGATTTCGAATGTATCACTAAACCTGCGCTGTATGCGCTATATGCGCATCATTGGGGTGTTAAATGCACCATGTAAATCAAATTTATGTATAGTCTCATAGTAAAAATAAATAGTGAATTTTTTTGTGTAACGAAAACGATGATTTATATTAAAAAACCCAAATTTTGACAAATTTTTATCAAATTCGTTACAAATTTAATATGTTTTTTTAAAAAAGCGCTCTTTTAGTTTAAAATATAGGGTCTGCTGAACAATTGAGTAAAATTTTTATGGAAGTTAATATGTAAAGTATTGAGGAGATACAGTTTGAATTTCAGTGAATTTTAATAGTGTTCTTATAAGAAGATGTTAATTTTCAAACTGTATCTCCTCAATAATTTACATATTAACTTCTTTAGAAATTTTACTCAATTGCTCAGTAGACTCTATATTTTAGACAAAAAGAGCGCTTTTTTTAAATTTTTTTAATTGAAATTTTATTTAAGTTCAAAATTTTAAAAATGTTTAATATTGGTTCTATCATCACGCAGGTGACAATTTACTAACAACATATACCTGCATCTAATTAAATGCTAAACCTAACCCCGTGTGATGCTAATTTATTGTACCACAATGCTGATCACTTTCAGCGTGTACAAGCCACCCTAACGAATAATATATAAATATAAAACAACCCGCTCTTTTTATTAAAAATCCTGTTTTTCAGTATTGCTGGTACATAAAATTGCAAATTCGCACAACCTAAATATTCAATATACAGCATATATATAAATATATTTAATAAAAATAAAAAATTGGCAATTCAAAAACTAGATTTATACCTATCCAAGCACTTGTTATCGGGTACTTTATCCTTTTCAATATCATTCAATTCAGGTGTTTTGTCCCTTTTAATATCATTCGATTTAGGCGCTTGTTCTTTTTTCATACTTTGGTTAGATTCATTGACACGTCTTCGATATTGTTTTAACATTTCAATCTCTTCTTTTATTTTTTTTTTGTTGTTGGGCTTTAAACGCTTTTAAATAAGAGTTATATGGATTATAACGTCTTGGTGGCATTTTTATAATTTAAAGAAGTAATTTATTAAAGTATTAGGCGTGTTATTATGTAGAATCGCGATGCAAAAATAAAGAATTAGGTGTTATTATATAGGAAAATACTATATAATAAATAATTTTCGATATGTAATTAAATATTATTTTATTTAATAAATTTATTTTAAATAATCATAAACACAAATAAATGCACACACTCGCACACATGTTATTATTCAAACGTCGGCCCATCCTTTATTATCAAAGAAGCAATACAACAATAATAAAAAGTTAAACAAAAACTGATTACCAAACCCATTATCAAATTCTCCAACACTTGAACAAAAGCCAATTGCTCAAAATCATAATATGAATTTGAACAAAAGTCAATTATCCTAAAACATATTAGTCGAAATTTGATATTGAGTTTAAACTCTGATACTTCAATTAAACAAAAGCCAAATTATCTAAAAGCGTTTTAGTTGAATTTTATTATTCATACGAATAATTATGCGCTTGAATAAACTCTACAATAAACAAAAGCACTGACCTTTTATCTGAGCAAAGCATCAATTAAACCAAAAAAGTTATTTCACCTCAAACAAAAGCAAATTATCCAAAAGCATTTTAGTTGAATTTTATTATTCATAAGAATAATTATGCACTTGAATAAACCCCACAATAAACAAAAACACTGACCTTTTACCTGAGCAAAACATCAATTAAACCAAAAAAGTTATTTTAACTCAAACAAAAGCCAATTATTCATGCGAATAATTATGTGCTTGAATAAACCCCACAATAAACGAAGGCACTGACATTTTACATAAGCAAATTATTGGCCAAATTCAGTTATTGCGATAATTTTAATCATCGATTGTGACCGTTAAAAGATCGTGGCTATTATTTAATTAAATAAAATGATGGTTATATTATTTTCAAATTGGGATCTTTAAAATTGAGTTTTGTTAAAAACTATATAAAAGAACTTATTTTCTAAAAATCATGGGATTGTAAAATCAATAAATTGATATTTAAAATGCCAAAATTATCAAAACAAAAAAGCCATACGAAGCATATGTGATCTCAACGAGATAAAGTTTAACAAATTCACAAAATTATACCCAAAATTGATTCTAAACATCTTCCACAAGTACATGATATTCTTACCAATGTAGAAAACAATACAAAAGAAAAGGAGGTATTCCAAACTATTCGTCAAATGCCAGAACAACAAAAAAATAATGCATTAAATCTAGTTGAGTTAATGCGAAATCCAAAAGGAAAACATGAAAAAGAAATCATTTCGGTTTGCCTTCAAAAAAAGCCTTTGACTTTATTACAAACACTGGTAATCGTAAAAATCACGTCGAATTTCTAAAAACTGAAAATGCAAGCCTAAAGACGGAAAACAGAAAACTATCAAAAAGTAATCAAAACCTAATACATAAAATTCAGTTTGTAAATAGTTTAAATCATCATCTCAGAAATAAAGTCGAAAAGCGAGTTTCAACTATAAGGTCATTAATAAGTAGACAAAATCAAATACCTCATAAAGAATTCAAGAATCAAATTAATGCATTATTTAAAACTGATAACAACAAATATTCGCCAAAAATAATTTGGCTTTCTACTAAAATATCACAAATCGGACAAACCTCATTAACTGCTTCCGTAGAATCGCTGCATCTTGTCTACGAATTTTTGGTAGGCAAGCCTCTACAAAAATGGTTAACAGTATCTACATTGAGTACTTGGCATAAGGAAGTCTCACAAATTGAAACTGAACTTATAATAAATCAAGTTACCCAATATTCCCAGTTCGGAATCCTTGTTGACAAGTCAACTTGTGGTAAAGATAAAAATTTTGTCATGTGCATTATGTTTTGGGACCATAAAAATAATATGCTATCAGTAGCTATAACCAATCTTGAACATTACAAAAATGCACTGGCCAATCTATAGCAGATAATGCTCTTGCTACTCTTACCAATCATAAAGTCGATCCAAAAAATGTCTAACTTGGATAACAGATAATACTGCCTATATGTCCGGTAACCAGAAAGGCGCAATGGTTCTATTCAATAAAAAAGTAAATATTAATACAACACGAATTGGCTGTGATATGCATATAATGCATATTGTTTTAACACATTTTAAAGAAACATTTGGAAAATTACCTTCGTCAATTTGATTTTCAAGACATCCACTACCCTTTAATTTATTATACCTTGTGTGGCTTCTTCACGATGGGTATAATTCAAGTAACAGAGGCAATGCCCTTAATATGAAGTCTGAATATATTCAAAAATTATATGATGAGCTATTAAGACTTCATTTCTTACAGTATCAATTACTGATTAGAGGACAGTGGGGCTATGAATTACATACTGCTAAACAATATTTGAATCAGCATACAGCACATGTAGAATTCGCAAATTGGTTTATTAGATCACTTGAAAATAATCGTATCTTTAAGATTGGCGATTGTTTAGAGAATGGCTCTTAAATAAAAAACTAAATATTCAAGTTCAGTGTTTAGTTACATTTGGTGAGCATTTTTATAAACCACTAATGCAATTTATAGTTGGAAAAGATCCAATACTTCATATCAAATTAGATGATCATTTAGTCCAACTTCCATCCGGTCAACATGCTCACGAAATGCCTGACAAGGTTAATGAATGGATTAGTTTTTTACATGATCTTAAAGAAAACTTTGATTCGTTTTTTGGGGATGAATTGTTAATAGCACTAGAGACCCTAAGTAATGATGAATTTAGTGAGCTGTTTGATAGTTTAGAACAAGGTATAAATAAAGCATATGAATATTTTTTAAAATAGATATCTCCGTGGACACATTTGCCACTATCAATCTGCCATTTAGGTGGAAATTCTTGCCATGAGTTCACGAGAGCATTCTACTATGTTTTAGAATCACAGTGGCTTTTGGAGCCAACAGAACGTGAAATAGAATTAGTACAACAATTACATGAAGATTTTAATATATCTGATAATACCTTTGGCCTTCGAGAAGAGTTATTAAGTTGCTTAGAATTTAGAGCCAAGTTTGAGAATTTTTGTTTCACTCCAAGCTCTAATATTTATGAATATCTGTTATTGAATAAATTTGTTAAAGAACGGATTTATTCCATCATAGTTCATTAACAACAAGTAGAAGGGCTCTTTAATAAGCTAGATTTAAAGACTCACTATGACACTTGACTTGAAGCAAGCAAAATTACGACTTTTATCTGGAAATATAAATGAAAATAATATTGCTCAGGGACTTTCAGATATTCGAATTAAACGTAAAAACCAACCGCAAAAAAATCATATAGAAGATATAAAAACTCACAGAGAAGAAGAAGCAACTAAAATGTTTTTAAACTTGTTTCAAAATTAACATTAGTCGCATTAGTATTAGGATCTTTGGAAAAAATAAAATAAAAAATATTAGCGTTATATATTAAGTATATCAGTTATCGTTATATGAAATAAAATTGATCTCAATCGGGTGATCATCTTCAAAAAAAAAAAATTTAGTATCAATTTTAATATATGACTATACATATATTTGATTTACATAGTGCATTTAACACCCCAGCGCATCATGATCATCTATCCGCGCATGCCTCAAAAATTTTTATCGAACGGATTGTATTTATGCTATTAGTCACACAAAATGTCAAATAGTTGAACAATTATCACGTTATTCTATTACAATCCGGGGATATACCAAATTAGGAAATCGGGTTCTAGAATAATCGACATAAAAATCTGTAGATCTGATTGGCTTTTGCGTTACTCAAGTTCACATTACGGTTTTATAGGATTTTGCATATTCACTTGCTATTGAACGATATACCAATAGACAATATAGGCTTATAGTTTAATAATCCCAAATAATCCCTTGTAATAACACATCTGCAAAAAGGTAAATGAGACCCGAAGTTGTCAAGTTAAGATCTAGAGTTACAGAAGTGGCGGCCTGCAAGCAGTCAAGAAACAGCTAAGTAACTTTTTTTTTCGTTGTTATATTTATGAACTGAAATATTTAAGCAAGCGATTTAGGCTCATTTATTAAAGATTACTTAGATCTATCGTTTACAGATAAGTAATTGAAACGCATATGAATTATTATTATTTTGAATATACTTCAGTTTTCTTATCAAGCGCATGTGTTTTACTTATAGCAGTTGAAAATTGTTCTGTTGTTCTGAGTGGTAATACTGAAGGTGAAATAAAACGAAATGGAAAAAGAATTGATGATGATATTGGTCGATCTGGAGTAAGAACCTTTGTATTATGTTTTTCAAGATTTTTTTGTATGGTTTTACTTTGTTAACAATATCATTACCAGATAATTGAAAATAGCGAATGAGAAGTAAACAATTTTGTAATGTAGTCTTCAAACCTAGAAATTTTTTCAAGAAACTTTTTGGGTAAGCTAGAATTTCGTACAATTCCCCCTATTGGATAGCATAATTCAAATTTTTACTTCTATTTGTAAATTAATACATTTTTTTAAAAGTAGAGCTTTCAGATCAAAATATATTTGGGTACTTAGCCACAATATTGTTGTGCTATTATATGTTGTTATAAGTCATTAAAAGAGACGATGAAAATAGATAGTGGAAAATAGATGTTTATTTTAATAAATATATGTGTTTAAATTATTTAAATAAATAAATAATTCTATATTATTTAATTAGAGAACAAATATAGGGACGCCATAGCAAAAGTGGGAGATGGGATTATATATTATTTTGCCTTGTCTTCTGCTTCTGCTGTGAACGTCTCCATATATAGATAATGAGTGTAAATTTGAATCAAATATTTTTAATAACAACACGTAGGTAAATATCTACGAACTCAAATAACTTTAATACAGTAAATATAAAAATACAAATTAAAAAATAAATAAACCTAATAATATTAAATAATGGCAAATGTTCTGAATTCATCAATTTTTTTTATGATGCTTACCAGTACGTAGGGTTATGAATGGAGTACTCCATTAACAATCCTACCAGTACGAATAATCTAAATCTCTTATTTCAAATATATCGATTTATTCTGCACATTCCCTAAAGATTGATAATAGCAAATATTAATGAATCCGAATACCTTAAATACATCAAGTAACCTATACATATATATGATCACCTACTATGTCTCGCAAATGTCAAATCTCCAAGAGCCTAAGTACCTTATTTTTTTAGAACTTGAAAATATCTGAACGTAGTTAAATCAATCTAACTAATTAAATAAAAATTGTATCTATTTTAAAAAACTGATATATATGAGTACACTAAAGAAAACTCAGTCTTCAGGTTTTCAAGTTTGCAATTGACGGCAGCAGCCCTGAAGTATTTGACAAAATGTATATTGCTGGTTAAATTTTCCGTAGCTAAATTCATTAGGCTATAAACTTAAAAACCTGAAATCTGAGTTTTTCTTGGCAATACTAAATTGACAAAAAATTGTACGTACGTACGTATCTTTACTGCTATACTGCTGTATTGCAGTACTGCAGTACTGTATTTAAATATTTAAATTTATTGCAGTATTGGCCAATCTCTAGAGCACGTGGAATAATCTGGAAAAGAAATCCAGAACAATCCGACGGGTGATCATCACCAAATAAGGTGCGATCTGCAATAGCCAAATAATGCTATATCCCCGGACTGTATTAAATAACTTAAGATCTTTCACTCGCTTGGCTAGTTACGACGAATGATGTACCTCCACCGAAGAAATACCACACAGTAAAGTTTATTTAAAAGGTTGCTCTATTGTTGTGAATACGGTAATTCTACGAATCTGAATACTAAGCTAGAGATCATCATATCACGATCACGCGATTCATGCAATGCGCTGGTAATACAAACCTCTAAAAGGAAATGGCCAACCAGATAGAATCCGAACATGTGTGAAAGAAGAAAAAAGAAAAGTAAGTGAAAAATTTTACATATAAGAAACACCAACTAGTCTCCAACTTATCGCTGTAGCCCTAACCTTAACGTTCTAATTCTAAATTTCCATGTTTACGCACTTATTTACAATTTCGATTTCCTTTTTGGGTTTGCAAATAAAGTCGACACTCTCAGAATCGGTATGTATGGAGACAGGTTTTGTATCAGCTTTAAGAGGTTGTCGGATTTGACAAATTTTACTTTAATTTGTTGGTTATAATTCTCTTTGCAGTTGCGATAATTACTGATACAATATGGCTGTTTAGAATTTCCTAGTCCAGTCAATAAATTTGTCAGACTTTTTTATTTGAATACATAACAAACTATTAGATTTTATATCAGATTTGACAGGTTATCGACTTTGACAGGTTCGGTTTTGAGAGGGTCAACAGTAAGTTATCCCGTGCTGACAGATCCACGCGTTACTGAGATTATAGAAGAACAGCATGGTATTGCGAAGATCAGTATGGTACGATTTTAAAATTTGGTTTACTCTATGCCCATACCATACTGATCTTCGTAACTTGTACGGGCCGAAATTATAAACAATACCATACTGATCAGTTATATGCTAACCCTAACGATATATATAACGTATGGTACGACTGACCAGATGGGTATAGAGCAGGCTAAATTTTAAAATCGTACCATACTGATCTGGTCCATACTGATATTTGTAATTCCTCGTGTTACTGATTATCCCGTGACACAAAATGAAACTTTGATGCCGATACGCATTAGTAATAGTAGTTATATGTTTATTTTTTGTACACATTACTACGTATTCTTTTTTAACCAGGAATTATTGTGTAATGATTTTCTTGCTTTCTTAGTAATAGTATTGAGAGCTTTTCTTATAGCTATTCTTTTTCTCTCTAACACTAATAGAAGGATCAGCATAATAATGTTTCTTGTCTAGCATTCACTTGTACTTTATTTGTTCTGATCTTTTTTATAATTGTCTATAACTATTCAGAGCATTCGGAATTTATTACCTTAAATCATCGTGATTATTCGGCTTGCCTAGATTTTTCGATATGTTGTAGATACACGGAGTTTCACTGAAAAAAATTTTTACAGTGATTAGTACAAAATTTAAAATCATATTTTCTGTTCCTGGTTTTGCGTGATAACGCTGTGCTACTTATACTATTTTGTGTAAATATTACAGAATTTTATGTACTAAGAAGGCTATTTTTTTAAACTGTATATTATGAATCTCTTAAAAGCTTTGGTTTTATTGGCTTCTTTCTTCCGTTCTCAAGTTCTTTGTTTTTAATAAGGAAAGAGAAATTAATTAAAACATTAGAGAAGAAATTTCTAATCATGTATAAGATCTTTCGAGTACCCTAGCCATAAAAGGAAAGTCTCCGGACCCCTACCGGTTGGCTACTAACAAAAATGGTAGCCAGATCTTTATTGCCGGTAATATGTACATATACAATGAATATAATTGTATAGGGGTATTACAAAAACATGTACTGTATAAACCAATATGCATGTGATGTTTGTAGGGTATTACAAAAACATGCACTGTATAAACCAATATGTTTGTAATGTATACAGTTGTTTCGAAACCAAACCTTACATTCTTTTTTAATCATCCTATATATCAATATTGCATATCTTTAATAATTACACAATATGATCTAATTCATTTTTCATTTTTTTTATTAGCTAATCCTAATGCCACTATTTCAGCTTCCTTTCTTCGCAATTCAACTTCTTTTTCACGAATGGTAATAGAAGATTTATTTTTTGTTCAGTTTTTAATTCATGTAAGTTGTTTTATTCAATTTTAGACCTTTTATTCGATGTCATTTCTGTTTCTGAATTCGAAAAGATTGTAATTACATCATGTGATTTTTATCATTTTTTTTTGGTCGAGACTTGCTAAAATTCGAAGTTTTGTTTTTGCTTTCTAACAATAATTTTGTATAGATTAATAAATTAAATATATTTTTATTTAAATTAAATATACATATAATTACTTTTACATGTTATAACATTAAATTTCTTTATAATGCTGTGAAATTGGTAAGCCAATATTGTATTCAATTAATAGTTATTTCATCTAATTTTTTCTTCTAAAATTAAAATTATTTAATTAAAAAAAATTTTAAATTAATAAATAAATAAATAAAAACATCAATTAATTGCTGAAAGCAATTTTAACTGTTTTCCAGACCGATTAGCATATGCATGAAATTGTGCAGATGGTCATATTCAAAACTATGAGTACTGCCAAGGAAAACATGTTCATACAGATAGAATTCCTAATAAATTAGGTAGACTAAATTTTCTCTTGATAGCACCCATGTGATAAAAGTCGAATAATCTGTCTAAATTTCAATGATTAAAGATAAGTCGTAAACTTTCAGAGTCAAACATTAGAAAGTGCATAATATACAATATATCAATTTTTTTCTTTTTGTCGTTCAGTGTCTAATTAGTTTAAATCTCGAGGCAGCAAACTTTAATATCGTAGCTATAAAAGAATAATCTTAAAATATATTGCAAATCGTATATACGTATAAGGTTTTTAGCCTACAGTTGATACTGTCTAATTGCACACTGTCTAATTGATATACACTTTAAATGCATAAAAATTTTTGATTTTTAATTATTAATGCAAAAATGGTTCTTATGACTTAAATGGATATATTGTCTATATGCATAAAAAAGCCTCTACAGATAGTATGCAATTAGACAGTACCGACTCTATTATGTAATCATTATTTCTCAGGTAAACCTGCTATAAACCCGATATTCAGATCATGTATTAATCATGCTAAAAATAAAAAAGGTGTTCTAAGTTTAAAATTCATGAGAAATCTGGTTATGATCGATAATTTGGATAGTAATAATAATAGTTCATAAAAAAAAAAAAAAATTACAACCGTTTCATTAGTTTGTCAAATATGTAATTAATTCGATTAGAAACACTACAGCATAATTTCATGCATTGATTGATTATTCGTGATTTTATAAACAAATTAAATTATGCATCAACAGTTGTACGTACAATAGCTCGCTGAATAATCGCAATGACAGATTTTCAATTTAGACAAGTCTAGATTCTTTATGAGTATAACCTTACTAATTCGATTCCAATAAGCTAGTTGAATCAATTTTGATTATCAACAAAATTTGATATTAATTCAATTCCACTTATTTAATTCCGGTCGCACTGCATTGTGATTTAAATTAATTTGAAAAATACATTGTACTGCAGGAATCTGTAATTTGAAACATACATGGTACTGCAGGATCTGTACAAAATATTAATATTATATTAATATTTTTAAATTTGCTCTTGCATATACGTAGCTTATAGCAATGTTTCAAATCCTTGGTATCGCTAATTATTATGGTCCAGTGCGAAAAGATTTGTGCTTCAAACATAAATTTAAATTTGTCTATACAATCAGACCTCTCTAAGTGCACGTCCTTGGGATCATACTTCAATAACGTGAATATAGAGAATAAAGCTAAACTCAATAAATAAAGCGCATTTATCGAACTTTGGGTGTTCTTAAGTAGCATACTCAATTAATTAGTTAGTGATCTTAATGGTGCTCATCCGTTATGGTAAAATTTAATTATACCTTTAAAGATTAATAGAACAAATGATAATGTAATTGACGTATTCTCAAGTATCTTCTTCAATGTAATAACTTGTAATCATTTTTACGTTCAAGCGTTGCAATAATTGAAATACTGATTTCGATTGACGGTTGAGCAAATAGTTTTATATTACTATCTTATCGCTACCATTAAAAAAATTATTGCTTTTACAAAACCGTAAATAATAATAAAAAAAAAAGATGAGACGATGTCAGAAATTCCAGCTTCTGTTTCGTCTTTTTCAGATATCACCAATTTCATACGTTGCTGCAACAAAACTAGCTGGAGCAACTTTTTTATGGATTCTTTACTATGAATAAACTAAATGTTGAATAATTAATGATGTGATATTTTTAGGTTCACTTTTAGTTTTGGCTAACGTTGAGCCATTATATCTTGTGAAGAAATAATGAATGGAATAGTTGTATTTAGTTGCACACTGTATTAATAAAGACTAGAATGATAAGTATGGCTATTCATGAAATTTCAGCTTTCTGTCTTTTTATTCGTAGTGAAGGTTTTTAACAAAAGTGCTGGTTACGATTTTGAAGATCCATCACAGGTAAAACTATAAAAATTTTCTAAAGATATTATGTTAGAAAACCTTTGTGAGATGTTACCTTTTCTAACAGTTTTTTAAAATTTTCATTAAATAAATTTAAGTATGTACAAATGTTTTCACATGTCAAACTTATAGTGTAATGTGCAACTTTTATTGTAGTATTCCAAACGTAAATTCAATATTAGTCTTCCAAGAGTTTTTTATAAGTAACTCTAGTATAACGTCTTAAATTATTTTTAGAAAACATTTATAATATAAATGATTATTCTATTGATTTTCCAAATGTAATGCTAATAAGAGATGCGGAATAAATATATGGGGGAGTCAATAGAAAAGGGACAAATCGTTTTTAGTGAAATTTTTTAATTTTTAAATTAAAATATCTCAATAACTAATTAATCAAATTTGCTAAAAAATTTTTTATTTTAATCTTGAAATTATATAGAATTAAAATAAAAAAAAAATTATTAAATTTAATAAGATAATTGCCAAGATATTTAATCCTAAAGTTAAGAAAACATTTACTTGAAAAAAATTTGTACCTTTTTTATTGACTCACCCCTATATATCACTTTTAAATCAAATTTTTAACGTTACATATAGATCTTAATATCATTGAAAAGAATACATGTTTCGAAGCTTTTAAATAACAATATTATTTACTATAACAATAATAATATCGGTTATTCTACATCATAATCATCATCAAGTTGTTCATAATACTCATATTGATCAACTTGATTCCATGCCCAAATTTGAAGGTCTTTTGGCTTTGCAGGAATTAATGATCGCATCTTAGCCCATCGTTGATTATTCATTTCAACATTCTCACGTGGCATAGGAGAAGTGTATGATGATGACCTTTTTTCTAATCGAGTTCATTTAATTATATCATCAGCAAGATTCTGAATACTATTTTCCTATTATCAAGTATTAGTATGTTTCTTATTTTTTTTTTTGAAAAGAAATCTGAATGATGAGAATAATATCTCATCACTTATCCAAGGAAGAACTGGCACTAGTAATTTCTTTCTTGATGCTTCAGATACATGGTCTTGTTTATCCAATGTAGATGTCTTTTCAATATCATATACTTCTGGAGATGTTGCTTCAAAGAAAAATAATTTCTCAATTTCACTTTTAGGATAGTTTAACTAATCTTCAGAAATTTTGTTCAAAGTAGCTAAACGACTAGATGATTTCTAAAAAAAGTTAATTAGTAATAATAAAAATATTTGTTATTGTAATTTATATTGGGTAAATTACCATATCATGTCATTTACGATGTTATGCACATTGATCATTCAAAAGCTTTGCAGCTGGAGTAGTATTTTACTCTTTTTTTAAAGTCTTAAAATAGGCCTTAGCAATTTCAGTAATTGTAGCTTCATTCCACTTCTAATTTGTTTCTACAAGATAATTAGAAATTTAAAAAATAAATATAACTTTTTAAATACTTATAAAAAAATAAATATATGTTTCTACAAACTGGATATCAAATTCTTTAATTAAAAGTCCAATGTAATTTTGAGTAATTTTTTTGTTTTTCGATTCTTAGGGCCAAGTTCAAAGTCATACACATATTTATTATTAAGTATTTGAGATTCAGAAATCTTCAAGATCTTCAAATCCATTAAAATAGCACATCTTGTCATAAATTTTTGCAGTAAGTATGGGATTTACCGTTGCAATAGCACATGGAGAATTATTAATTGTATTTAAAATATTAATGTTGTCATTATGATTTTGAATATAGGATAATATATTATTCATAGTAGTTTGAACTGCTGATGTTGATTTTGAAAAATTTTCTAACATAGTAGTAGTAGATATTAAAGTATCTTTGATACATTATATTTTAATTCCATGTTCATTACTAATACGTTGTATAGAGGTTATAAATTCACTCTGATTGTGTTTATAAATATCAAGCTGATGTTTCAAAGATTTAATAGATTTTTTTGTTATTTTAAGTTGGTTTTTAATATTAGAAGAAGTTATAATAGATTTCATTTTATTTACAGTGAGTTAAACCTGTAATATTTGTAGAAAGAGTATTTAAATTAGCTTTGTTTGCTATGATAATAATAAATATTAAGTTAAAATAAAAATAAAAAAAAATAAAAAGTTAAAAATATATATTTCAGACCAAAAAAGCACAACACTTTTTGACAATCACTAAAACCAAATTTGGAGCTAAAGAAAACCAAAGTTCTGGGCTATACTTTACTAAGTAAATATTAGAAATAGTACTAAGCTAAAAGATAGAACAAAGAAAAATAACTGGAGTCTCTTAAAACAATATTATTTCTTACACCCTTGGGAGCCCACTTTTTAGAAAAATTCACACCTTCGACAAAAAATTTTGAAAAATTTTTAGAATTTTGGGGATTTATTATCGATCCTGTATTGCAGATCTGCAAGCTAACAAAACAAAACAAAACAAACAAACACGTTCATTTTTAGTGATAAACAAACAATCTAGATTTCAGTAGATAAACAAACAATACAACAAAAGTAAATAAACAATACATGTAAAATGCTAGATCTTGTAGATTATAAAAAACTTTTCAATAGGTCAGAGAAGGAAAGAGCTTCAATTCAAGAAAAACAAAATATATATCTTTGGGAGGAAGACAAAAAAGTTTCTAAGTACTTAGGAACAACAGAAACCTATCTTATTGTAATCATTCGCATAGTATTACAATAGCATGATTATACACAACAATAAAAATTTAGAGAGTTAAATATAATAGAAGAAGAAGAAGCTTTCATAGAACACCCCAATAAGCTTAAGGAGCAATTAAACAAAACAGATAAAGTAACCTTCCAAATAGACAATATTAGGCTTAAAATTGAATTCATTTCAATAGAAAATACAACAAATCATCACACAAATTCTCATACTAAAACTAGCAATAATATGGAAATGGATGAAAATAAAATAACAGATCATTCTAAAAGAAAGACCGCATCACAATGTAGTAATAATATTCAAAAAATTAAAAACAATGTTGAGCCAATTTTTATAGAAACTGCACCAATTGTATTAACAATAGAAAACAATAATATCATAAATAACACAGAAGAAGAACTATACAACAACTTCCACAAATACAATTTAGAAGAACAAGAATTAATTTCTCATTCTTCAAAAAACAAAGAGGAATTAGTTAAAGTAGCATTAATCTAAAATGAGTGTGGCATGCTCGATTATGGACTTATAGAGCACTTTGAAGAAGTACTACAAGAGGAGGTAAAAGCTTATATACACAAAAGTAGTAAAAAGTACAAGCAATATGAGGATATATATAACTTGGCCTGGACCCAAAGAATGAATCTTCTCCTCAAAAACAAATGCACAATCCAATATATGATTTCACAATTTGGGACTTGTCTAAAGAAATGAGTGAATCAATAATAAAGTCATACCTTGGATATTTTGGTACAGCAAAGCTGGTCTCATGACAACAAAATTTTAGAACCAAGACAGTCTATATTAGAATATTGCCAAGTTTTGAACAAAAAGGAAAATCTCAAAAAGAAAGCTGCTTCATCCACCTGGAATATGGCAAAACATATTGCATTACACCTGGCAAATTCAACATCTCTGAATTAGAAGAAAGAAACTATTACAAAAGTATAATTTCTAATATACCAACATCTGCTTATAATAGTTTTCTCTTATACCAACTAAAGAAGTATAAAGTGCAGGCAGTACATATACTAAACAATCATAATAGAAATCAAAGAAAAGTGGCTCACTTGTATTTTAAATCAGAGGAGAATCTTACATTAGCCCAGAATTGCAAGCTCTATTACTTCAATACCAAGCTCAACTAGTACCCTTCCATTGAATTTTCAAATAGAAAAAATTTATATAACAATTTTTAGTATGAGAAAACAAATAGAAATATAGAGAAAGGAAAAAGACCAGTAGTTGAACCTGAAACACTGAAAGAAAGATTCTCTATCAAATAGTTATCTACCAAACAAAGCATTAGAGCAAAAAGGTACATATATGACTCCCAAGATAGTAATGAAAATAAAAGAAATACCAGAAGCCCCAGAACTAGCAACAATATTAGAAAACCTCTTAGAAGCATAGAAAATAAATGTGCAACCAGTTCAAACATAACAGTACTAAGTGAGAAAAAAAAGAAACAAGAAAAACAAGAGGTTGAATTAGTCCAAGGCAAAAATATTTTGGAACTAGTAGATGAAATGTAGAAGAGATTTACAGAGCTGGAGTTGCAGGTTGCTCAGCGCTTCTAAAAGTTGCCACAGTTGAATCACAGGTAAAAGGGTTGAGAGACACCTAAGGTTGGAAAATCTAGACCAAATCAACAAAAAGGATGAAAGTTTTGAACAATTAAAATTAGGTTTTTATAATATAAATGGTCTCAAAGTGAATAGATCAAAATTGCAAGAGCTTTTAGATTTTAGTATATAAGAAATTTGGATATTATAGGGTTAACAGAAACAAACATTAGAGCAAGGGATGGGGCTTTCTTAGAAGTAGAATGCAGCAATTCAGGGCTTTCAGAACCAAAGATACTATAGAAAAGAAAAAAGGTTCAGATATAGATATTATAATATGAAAAAAATAGCAAACACACCTAACTAAAATAGTGTGCAAAAATACATATATGTTAAAAGCAGTCTTTAGATTTAAAAAACAATATTAGTTATCTGGAAAGTATATTTCCCCCAAACAGCAAAGATATGCAAAGAAAGATACAGCAATTTTTGATAGAAGACATTACTAAGAGCAGCTCAAATACAAGAATATTAATAAGAAGAGACTTTAATGCTAAACTAGACCCTCATACTACTTCTAGCCAATACACAAATGATGAGATCTCAGAACACAAACACAGTAAACTGCCCTTATTAAATTGGCTTCAAAGAGTAGGCTATGCAGAATCTTACCTATTAATCAACCCTCAAACCTTTAAGACAACCTAGTCTAATAACAATTATTACTCAAAAATAGCTATATATAGCTAGATCCAACAATTAAAGAGCTTATAATAAATAGTGATATCAAAAATATGGATCTGGTGACAGGTAGTGATTACAATCTAATATGGGCAAAGGTACTATTAAGCCCAATACATTACTCTAATTTAGTTGTCGAACAACATAGAAAATATTCTGGATAGCGTAAAATATATCTCTATGACAAAATGTCTAATGAAGATTAGAAAAAGTTTATCTCTCTCTTAGAAAAATATTTAAATAAAACAAAACAGAGTCAAAAAGAAAAAAGTTGAAACTCACTTCTCAGCAACAGAATATCTAATAAATGAAGATTGAGAAAAGCTAGCTAATTGTAACAATAGCAGTCAACAAATAGTCTTATTCAAGAAAATTAATAATATGCTAGAAGAAAGGCAAAAGCAGATTATCTGGAACCTGAGATATAAATAGATCAAGCAACTTAGAAGTATAGTAAGAAAAGGGTCCAAAAACCTAAATGGTAAAATTGAACTAGAAGACAAATGTTTAATAAATGTCCAAATAAATCAAGTGAATCTTAATAACAAAACAGGTTGAAGATTGCTGGTCAGAGCAATGGATAAAAGACCTCAAAGAGTGGATAAAAGTAATCAAAAAGAAAATGATCTTAGAGCAAAGAACAAAGCAAGATAAAAAGATAAGAGAAAATATAGAAAGAAGATTTGAAATAGTCAGCCAGTATGAGAAGAAAATGCTAAATAGCATCCTTAAAAAACCATGGAATAAATTAAAAATAGAAAGAATCCTAGTTACAACAAACCAGGTAAATGAGAAGAAAGAGCTAGTTTATGAACCTGAAGAAGTCAAACAAGCTGTAGATAAGCACTTTTCAAAACAGTTTGAAGAGGTTGATAATGAATCAGATGTAGAAAAAGAAGAGTAGCAATCAAAATATGAACCCTTAAGCTATATTAACCAAGAGTGGTACAATGGCTTGTCTGATAAAATCAAGAAAAAAAAATAGAAAGAAATGATTCAGAAAACTTCAAACAACTCAGCTTCAGGGTTGTTGAACATCAGGTATACAATTCTAAAAAGACTAGAAAAAAAAGCAACAAAGACTCTCTTAGAACCTTTAAATCTAATTTTAGAGAAGAGAATAATGCCAAGAAAATGGAAAATCAGTATGATTTTCCCAATACCAAAACTAGCAAAATGAGACTTACAATTAGAAAATGTCAGACCTATTGTCAAGTACCTTTCCGGTACTATCTGTATTGGTGGGTCTTTACCTACTATCTTCACTCGCTTGACTATTCTTTCCGAAGACCATGTATTGTACAGGTCCTTCCACCGATGTTGTATACACACAGGTAATAGTTTTTCACTGAGATTCATTTTTCACTAAACAAACAAAGCTCAAAATAGCTTGATACGTTCCCTTTTGGGATCGATACCTTATATATTATTACTAATCGCTATTCAGCGTCACTGATTATTACATATTATCTTATCGCTCTTGCAATCAATATTTTAACTTTTAATTATTTCCCATGCATAACCCTGAATCACGCCATTCATGCAAATCGGGATTATGACCTGATCATGATCCCTTGCGCTACAAATACCCGGGACCACGACAGGAGCTAGATTCCCTGGAACTTTCGTTCCTGAAGTTCCAACCTAAAACAATTCGTAGCACAACACAATCTAACTAAACAATATTATACAAAGTCCCATTACATACACTAACACATATAGCAATTTTATTTTATTTATTTTATTATTTTATTTTTTTTACTAACTTACTTTACTACAATATTATAATGTTCCATTAGCACTACCCCACTCCTGTA